TTTCTTACAGGGATGTGTCTGTGTGGCGTCTTCTTTCACTTGCTTGCAAAGCCACCTCCAGCCTGCCTCCTGTGAGACACTTGGGACTGAGAAAAGTATTTCTTTTTTCATCAGAAACAAGTGTTTTCCTATTAACAGTGTGTTTCTCTTTGAGAAACAACCCCAAATTTAAGACATGCCTTCATCTCTTCAACCTTGCAAACAGAATCTCTACTTCATTGCAAAGGCTTGTTTGTTTTTGGCTTTTCTCTTTCACAGCTGCAGTGATTGAAAGAGCTTGATGTGTTCCCTTCCATCCAGCTCACCCAGATGGTGAGTCACCTGGATCATGATTGGGGAGAGCTGCTCTTCTGACCCAGATGGCTACTATGGCTGTGCTAGGTATTTTCTTTGAGTAAGAAAACAGTGACTGAATTGGTAGGGGTTGATCCATTGCTTGCCATTTTAAAGAGTCAGGCTGCATGCCTTGTCCTTTGCTGCAAAGGGTAAAGGTAGGTTGTATAACCCAGCAACCCTGCCAGCTTGCACTCCTTTTTAGCATCAAAACAAGGTAGGCGAGCACATCTGGGAATTAGCAGCACATTTTGGTTACTGCAGTGAGCACATTTACTATTTACTATTTCTTCACCGTTTATACTGAATGGCATTTTGTGTACTTGTAGTTAAGAAAGAAATAAAGCAGCAGAAAATCACAGAGTCAGCACTGCAGTTAGTTACTGCTTATTCTCATCTCCCACGTGGATTGATAATGTTTCTGCCTCATTTAGTCATATGGTTGATAGATATATGTGGGAATGTATGTATGTGTCTACTGTCCTTTCTTGAACAGACTTCACTTTTATTTATTTTTGTACTATTTTTATAGTCTTTCTTTTTAAAAACTGACATTAAGGAAAAAAGGTTTTGATTAGGCAACTGGGTGGCTCCTAGGGCACAGGATGGGCTGCAGCATTCTCTTCCACCCTTAATAAAAAGCTGTAGTGTGGCTGTCAACTGCTTGTGACTATTCTTGCACATTCTCATTGCAGGCATTGTGCATGTGGGGGGACGACATCCCCCCTGTCCAAGTGGGCAAGAGTTTGGTAGCTGGGACTCTTGGGTCTTCTGCTGTTTTTGTCCATTTGTGAAGTGTTGATAATACTTGGCTCTCTCGCAGGGCTGTCATGAGCACAGCAGGCTTGATTTGGTACTGAGAAAATGCAAAGAATCTTCTATGATACTCTTGGGAACAGTATTGTTTTGGCAGTCTCCAAAATTACCAAATGCTTGTAAGACGTTAAAAAAAAAAAATCAGTGATGCTTGGGAGAGCAGGAGGAAGAGGGACAGAACTGGGTTGTTGGGTTTCAGATCTGTGCTGAATTTTGTGGGAGTACTTTCCAAACTTTGTATTGCTCCTGGTCTGTGATGTGATGGTAAAACATGCAGCTGGTCTCTGTATCTTGTATAAATGATACATCATGAACATTTTAAGGGTAAATGATGGACTGTGAGAAATTATGGGGGTTGATAGTGGTCTGATGCAAAAAAAATTGAGCTAGCTGGCTTGTCACCTCCTAAGGGTGATCTCTGTGTGGCCTTGCACTGCAAAAGTCTTGGTGAGGAGGTTGGAATTGTTTGTGTGTCAACTGCACACAAAGTCAGTGCCTCCTCTGGTGAACAGATCCCAGCTACTTCTGAGGAAGCTGTAAGAAAGTAGACAGGAATCAGACTTGTCAATGTGTGCTTTGGGAAAGTTTTTTTACAACTGTTTTTTCTACTGCTCAGCAAGGGGAGAGCTTGTGTCTTTAAAGTGTAAACTTGTAAAATGCTTATTTTTTTTTTTTTTTTTTTAAAATGTGTGATTGCTTGAATGCAATTCCTCTTTGAGTATTTAAAACCCTTTTAGCAAATCCTTCCAGGGACTATTCTATGGGGAGCTGTTTCATGCCTTTCCAGTCAGTGGTTTGAGCTGCTCAGCCCTGAGAGATGAATTTGTGGCTGAAGAGCCGTTGCTGAGGACTGTTACTTTCCCAGGTGGTGTGGCAGCTTTGTGGTCCTGGTTGCTAGATTGCTCTCTCTGACACATTTACTTATGAAGCAGTATTGTTTCTGATGATATCCGTGACCACTTTTTCGCGTGTTGATAGACGTGAGAGAGGTGTGATGGTTGCACCTCTTTCTAAAGAAGCAGCTTAGTGCCCCTCCTGTTCTGGTTTGAACTTGGTGAGATGGGATGGAGTCAGTGGCAGGAGGGGGAAGTGCTATTTCTTACTGGGTTTACCCTTGGACTGGGATTGAAGAACTGGTTTTTAGTTTTGATTCTTCTCCTGATTTTTCTGGCTGACTTGGCTGATGTCAGTTACTCTTCCCATTAACATTTCCTATTTAACTGTGCAGTTTGCTCTGGAAAAATAGGCTATATGAGAGCTACGTGTTAATAACTAGCTCTAGGAATAGAAGAGTCACTGACTCTGTGGTGAATATGAAAACCTTAAACTGAACATAGCATGGTACTGGGCACTGAGGACCTTGTAATTATTAGCGTCACGTTTGCTCTCTGAGATGTTCTCAAGCCCAATTTTATTTCAACCAGCAAGTAAATAGTTTATTCTTTCAAATGAGAAGAATTGTTCATGCTTAGTAGTAGATTACCACTGGGTTAAAAAACAATCAGGAAGCACAGGATTGTGTTGAGTACAGCAATAGCAATGTTTTAATTAGTGAAACTGAAACCACATTTTCTCTTTGATTGAATCCAATATACAGACTGGAGGTGTGAAAGCTGTGAGTGTGACAAAATTATTAAAGAGTGATAGCACCAGCCAGGATTCTCAGATGACTGGGTGTTTTGACTTCCTCATGTATGACATACAGAAGTGAATATTCAGTGGGTTTTTTTCTTTCTTTTAAAATAATTTTCAAGCTAAGTGCTTACTGAGGACTAGGTCCTATTTGGGGCCTGTTCTGTCAGTCCAGCATTTGAGTCTCAGGTCACCTGAGCTCCTTGTTCCTTTGGATGGCTTTGATTTCTTCTCAGTTCTTTTTCTCATTGGCTTGCAGTGCTCCCACCCACTGCTGACTGGTACGATTCCTGAGCAGGCCCTTGTCACTGTGCCTCTGGTTCTCTGTTCACCTCTTGAGTAAATTTGTAGTCCTGAGGATACTGTCAGGACAGCTTAACAAGAGCTTTCTCTGTGCTTTTGCACCCAAGTGCAGTATGGATGCTTTTGTAATTGTCAAGGAAGAGATGGTGCCTTGAGGTTTATGACCCTGCCTGATCCTTTCAGAATGAATTACGGCCTTTCATCTACTCTGAGGGTCACGTTCTCTTTGTAATTGCACTGAAATGACTTTCCACTACATTTGGTACATGCATGCAGACATGCCGTAATTTGTTCTGAAGGCACAGCCTCCCCATAATTACAAGGAAATGTGTAAGCTTGCGTGCCTCAAATATGGCATTAGGGTGCTCTCATTAAATCAACCTAAATCTTTGACATAGTCTTGTTGGTTCCCTGCTGCATTTTCACCCTTGAGTAAAGAACAGAATTTCTGTTTGTGACTGAAAGCTTGCTCTGTTTGGATAATTCTCTTGTTGACCATACTGGTGCAAACTGGAGGTAAGCTTACACAGATGTGTGACATTTGCTCTGTTGTAACACAAATGTGAGTGCTGGAATTATCTAGTGGGGGACCAGTGGCCACTGCCCTGTCCCTTCCAGAAGCCTGGAATGTGTTGTATAGGAAACACTGATCTCCTTGAGCTTGTGAGGCCTTCGGTTTGGCGGCCTACAGCTTTGGATGGTTATTGTGCTTGGGAGATCCAGGGATTTTTTCTCTTCCCTCACTTTGATTTCTTCAATAAACAATTCCTTAAAAATGCTCTAGGAGAAGTGTGGGTACTATAAGGCCAGTTTTTAGCCTCCTGCTGATTGTTTTCCAGGCTGCTTCCTTTGGACCTGGGGGGTATCTGGAGGCCTGGTTGGGTATTGCCAGGCTGAATTCTTTTCTTGAGGCCTCTCAGACACTTGATCTCAATGGTGTCTTTGATAACAAGTTTTACAAACTCAGTTGTTTTCCATAGGGTGGGTTCAGTTGCAATCTGTGGTTAAAAAAGCGGCAGCCCTTGCTTGCTTTGGGTGAGATTAACTCTTGATGTAATTACTTTTTTTTTCTAATACCTGCATTCAGTTTTGGTCTGTGATGGCAGGTAGAGGCAACAGTTTTTTTCTTTGAGTAGAATTTCCTCACTAATTCAATGTTGCTACAAAAAATTATCCTTTAAATCCTGTAAGCTATTTACACTAATCCTCATTAGTGTATTCTGTGTATTTCTATCATTTGCTTTTGTATATTGCTTTGTTTTCTTGTACCTAAGGAAGCCTTAAAATAGGAATTCTGGAATAGAAAAGGACTTGTAAAAAGATTGCAGATTACTGTTGTTTTTCTAGTGGCTACTCTTTTCACTGTCGTGTTAATTTAGAGGCTTAATGAGCCAAGTTTGACTGCAGGGCGAGCCTGAGTGCTGTTCGGAACAGCAGTTTCCATCTAGGGTTCCTATGAAATGAAGCATTTACTAACTTGCCAGCTTTTATTTTTGTTTTTTTTGTGCCTACTGCATATATCAGGGCACGGTAAAGCGTACAGTCACTTAAAGGGCTGCCTGAAGACTTTTGGAGACTGAAAGTGATGCACGCAGAGCAGCTGCTAAAGCATATTTTGGATATTAATGCCTAAATCCAGAAGTGGCATGATCCTTCCCCTCCCCTTTGATCTTCTCTTTTACTTATGTGCATTCAACCAGATCCCACCACCCTGTCTCCTGAGGAGTGACTCTGTTAGGATCTGGAGGGTGTTTTCTAACAGAGCAACGTACCTGTTGGTGAGGATGTGCAGCATTTGCAACACGGCATTCCCTGGATGCAGTGCTTAGCTGTTTGCTTCAGCAGAGTATTTGCATTACTAACACCTTCCCTAGAGAGTGTGGAGTTTCATGTCTCCTCTCCCCTTTCTATTTCAGGCGCAGGCCTGTCTGCTTCTTCAGAAGGTTCTACTACTTCGTGAACTGAAGCTCTTGATGACAGAGGAGGAGTGGGAGGAATTGATCAGAGAATGCATCAGCCAAGTTGCAGAGGTAACAAGCTTCAACATGTTCAGTGTGTAGATAGCACCTCATGGGTGCTGCTTTTACTAGTGTGGTGCTTGTTTTCAGAGTTGGAATTTGCAGCTGTGCCCAGTTTAACTGATTTTACAGGTGGTGTGCCTGCTTGCACCAGTAGTGTCGACCAGGATTACAAAATTCTTGTACACCACTGTTTAGATGCATTTTCACCGAGTGCAAGAAATGTGCCTGGTAAAACTCAGCAGTGCCTGTGTATGGATCCAAGAGGCAGAGTTTGAGTGTTAGGGAATACGCTCATACAGATCAATTTAAGGTGGTTTAAAAAAAAAAAAAGTATTGAGTGGAAAGATGTGAACATTTACTTAATTTCAGAAAATGTTATGAAAGTTTTGTATTTGAATGAACTTCAAGGCCAGAGAGACAGAGCTGAGGTGCAGTAGCCTTTTGGCTCCTGGTGTGTTGCAGGCCTTCTGGACCAGACTCCCTTGCCAATATTGTTTACCAGGGAAACCTTATAAAACATTGGGAAACAATTTGTACAGAAAAAACAGTGACAGAAATGGCAGGGCTCCTGGTTCACTGACAAGTGCAGGTTGTACCTGAAGCCAGTTTTTTGGGCGCAGCTGTTACGTAGGAGGTGATCTAGGGGACAGGAGACTGAAGAAGCAAATACCATTCCATTATATTTTTGTGGATTGATGTGGGGAGAATGAAGCAGCCAAATTAATGTTATGATGCAGTGACTAAACTTGATGACATGGGAGATTCCAGTCTTGGTGCTCCTATGTAACTGTACTATTGACCTCTTTCTAAGTGTAGCTTCCATTCTTTACTTCTTTAAGTGCTGGTTATGTGGTAATTTAGACCATTCTATAATTTGTCATATTAGAACAGAGTGATTAGTTCTGTTTTCTTTTGTCAAGGAGGGACAAGATCTTAAGTAAGTTTAAATCCAGGAATTCAGAGGTGGTGTTTATAATTCTTGAGGAAGCAGGTAATCCTGGGTTTCATTAAATAGCTTTGATTTACTGGTTACATCAGGAATCCAATGGGTGGAGTTAGGTGTGATTTTATTTTCCAGCTGTATAAAGCATGCTACTCCTCCCAACCTGGTCCTCTTCATGTTTCTCTCTAGCAGCTGAATACCTGCAGGACTTGGTGATTCACTGGGAAACCACAAGCATTTACAATGCCTGTATGTTGTTCTTGTCAGGGAAAGTTTAGCATCTTGCAACCCCTCCAGTATTTTAATGAGTTTTACTACCAAAGCTGCTTCAGTGTCTCTTGTTTTTGTGGTCATCTGTGTTTAAAGAAAAATGCCTGTGAAATACTGACAGTTTGTTTGGAATGTCCAAGGTATACCCTGTGGGCAGAGGGCCTTCCATACTATTAACTGCCAGTGGCATATAGGTGCTAGTTGTCTTTTTGGCCTGAAAAAGCCCCAGCATAACATTTTTTAGAGTGCTCTGTTGGTGGACATGTGTGTTGTGTTTTGCCTCCCTTCCTCCTGCTCCCCCTTTGCACTAATACAGTGCTGCTATGGTTTCTTGGAGCTGGAGCAGCTGCGTGTCTTTAAATGTTGCTGTAATTATGAGGAATCCAGGATTTTTTTATTCCATATAACAGTTTTGATTCACAGCCAAAGGCTGACACTTGTGCTGCAAAACTTTTCTAAAGCTGCAAAAGGTATTCTGTGTCTTTGGTGGCACAGAAACGCTCACTTATCTGAGGAATAGCTGTAAAAACATGCAGGGGCTCTGTGGTATAGTAGAACAATGTATCATGACTGATCTCTTTTGGAAATGGGAAGAAATCCCTTGTAGCAGAAGTCAGACTGGAAACTGAACAGAATTAGAATGTGTAGAAAGTATGTATTTGTCAAAGAGTAATCTACCATTAAAATAACTTACTGAAGAGTTTATTAGCTGTGAATCTCTAGGTGGAGATTGCACTTGACTGAAAGAGAAGCTGAAGGTTGGGTGGAAGTTACGGACTTGATGTTGAAATTGAGATGTGTTTGCTTGGACTGTTCGGCAAGAGCTTGGGCTAAACTGAAGGCTTTGCTACGCTCTCTGTGTCCTTGCCAGGTTCTCAGCTAGGGTGCTGGTAGCTCTTCAAGTGCAGGATTGCTATTGCAGGTGTAAGGCTGTGAGAGGGAATAGGATGCTCTCTTGTGCATCTGCCTTCTTAACCTGTCTTGCCTACAGTGATTGCATTGTATACCTGCTGATCACTTGGCAAGGAGCAGGGAGCCTGGGATGGTTTTAGGCAGTTACATGTACTGGAACCGGGAAAGAAGTAATGTGAGAAAACTACAGTCTTGGATATCATTGAATTATACGTGTAGAATTTAAGAGGCATATGAGAGAGAATCAGCGGCCAGGAACTTTAAATGAAGAGACAGCTTTCTGAAATAGTAGCTCTGGCTGCTGCAAGGCAATAACTGTTGTGCTTATGTAAGCTAACTTGACCTTATTTGTTCCCAAAATGTTTAAGCATGCTTATAAAATGTATGTCACAGTCATGAGGGATTCATGTTTGCCATCTCCTTACTGTCAGCAAGGCAAGTATTGATATCCTAGCAGGTACTCTGGAGTTGACATGCTCATGTGAGAGCCTTGCTTGCTGTTGGTGCTGTTGGCTTGTTTTGCTGGGTCACTTGAGCAGGAAGTCTTGCCCACATGCCCTGGGATTGCAAATGTGAGGAAGCAGAGAAATAGCTTGGGCACAGTTTTGACCTCTCAAGTCCTAAATAGTTGCTTTACACAAAGCAGAACCTTGCTACCTTTGTTCAAGTTTATTGTAATGTTGGGGGTCTAGATGACTGGGCTGTGTTTACAGTATAAACACAACTTCATGTTGTAAATGACAGAGCTCACCTGAATCTGACAGAGACTTCTTCCTCTTCAAGAGGTCTGTTCTTTTATCGGTAGGTCTCAAAGTGCTTTACAAAGGAGATCCAAACCAGTGAGTGGTTGATGTAATGAAGAGAGTATTTTGCAGAAACCCCATAGCCAGTGTGTTTAGTTTACTGAAGTCCTTCACTCAGTTTTACAGATGATATGCTTGACTGGGAGCTGAGCCAAGGATCAAACTTGGGTCTCCTGAGACATCCCAGAGACCCTCTTTGTGCATGGATGATCAGACTGTTTCTTAACTTGGCTTCAGAACAGCCGAGTGTGTTGGGTGTCAATCTCTGTGCCCATGTTATCTAAGCAGGATGCTGGTGGTTGTGAGCTCAGACTGCCCTGAGTCATGCAGCGAGGCCAGCGGCAGAACCCTGGGGCCCGAGTTCCCCGTTTCATGCATGGAACTCTTGCACAGTTTTGGTGAGGGATCTCTGTGGGGTTGTTGTTAGGGCCTGCACGCTGTCTTTTGGACTCCTATCAGGCACCTCTTGCTTTGGTCTTTCATCTCTCCAAGTTGTCATTGTGGGCTCATTGTGGTGTTTGTTCCCCTTGTTTGATATATTCCTGTTTTTTTTTTTTTCTGATATGTTATTTTCTGTCTTGGCTTTAGAGTGATCTTGAAGTCGTGCACGTTTTTTAGTAACTCACTGACAGATTTGGAGCAGGAAGCTCCAGGATCTGAATACCTAGTTTAACAACCTTTTCACGTCATCCTTTTTGCAAGGACTGTCGTGCCTTCCTGAACTGAGGTACTTTGTGTAACTTGCAACTTAAGCTGAAACTCCCAGTTACAATTTGAGAGTCAGGGGGAAGTGGGAAAGGATTTTGAGGAATATTCCAGAAAACATGTATTTTTCACAGCTGAGCAACTTTGAAACAAAACAGCCCTCAGAAAACTGTTGTTAAAACTGCTTTCTTTGGCTTGTACACAGCAATTTCCTGAGGGTTTGTTTCCTTTGTCTTCTACAGTAAGTACATCATAGGAAGGGCCCAACTTCACTGCTGTTTTTTCCTTTGCTTGTTTTGCCAGTGTCATAAGGGACAGGCAGAGCAGATAGCATTCAGGTTGGCCGTTTGAAACCAAAATGGGATCAAGGCATTGTGGAATGTAAAACACACACAGAATCTGTCACCTAAGTTTAGTTCAAGATCAAAGCACTCCAAGTCACCAATACTGGAAACTTTCAGATAAATATACACATAATCCTGTTGAGATGCATCTGATATCTCCTTCCTCTTAGGTGGTTACTTAGACTTGGACTGGGCAGGCAGCCGTGTTTCTGTAGAACAGCATGAATGTAGACTGACAGGTGATTGCATGGCCCATGCAAGGGATGGTATGGGTAACCCAAAACCTCTTTTCCAAGACTCATATTATTTAAAAGTTACTGTATGCTCTCTGAAGACTTACTGTCTCCCTGTTCCCTCATCAGCTGTCCTGTATGTTTTTTCCCTGCTGCATTTTCATGTGGTCTATGGAGAAAAATAAAAAAAGTCAAGTCGTATCTTTAAACTTGGGAAAGCATTGAAATTTTCTGTTGGAACGGCTTCTGGATTTTTGGGATCCTCCCTCTAATAACAGCCAAAATAAACATTGCAAAAAATGCCCTTTAGTTATACCCTTCAGCATGTGGGTCTGCTTAGTCCCCTACCTTCCCTTGTTCTCTTGGTGGGGACGAGCAGAAACTTGGTGTTTCCCTTCCCTTTGTGAGCATTTTTTAGCGACTTGTTTCTGCTAGAGATGCAAGGAAAAAAGTTTCGAACATTAGTACTTTCAGTCGTCAGAAACTTAGTGAGAGAGAATGGAGGGAGCAGGGACTGTTAGTGCCTTTTTTCCTCTTAGTGCTGTTCAGGTGGGTGGTGTGAGAACTTCTCCCTGCGTGCTTGTGTACATGGAGTTGGAAATGGATCTGGCTCTGTGGACAGATGGAAACTGGTGTGAAGAGGCATGCTCTTCCCTCCTCCCTTCTTTGTCTTCCATGATTTAGCTGTAAGTTCTAGCTTGGGTTTTTCTGTTGTATAGTGAATATTGTCATGAAAGGAAGTATTTGGGGGTTTCTTGTCTGGGTTTTGGGAAGCTCAGAGTTGATTCCTGGCTCTGTC